CCACACCCATACCCACACCCATACCCACACCCATACCCACACCCACACCCACACCACACCCACACCCACATCCACACCCACACCCACACCCACACCCACACCCACACCCATACCCTTGTTCTATTTAAAGTTGATACAATGAACTCGTTTTTAGCGATTGTTGAAATGTGAAAGTTATGAAAATCACTCTTTATTTAGTTTTGTCAGTTATTCATAACAAGAAATAACCTTCAAATTTTATCGTATTAAGTTCATTGTAATTGTTGTAATGTTGGATATTTGTTGAATTGTATGTAGTAGTCAATTGTTTTTTGTAGATGTGTTTGGACATCAGGGTAATCAACTACCAAATCAATGATTGGAGAAACCGTTCGATTAACAGCTACAGGTTGTTGCCAAGCTTGATTTAACCAAGCCTCCCATTCTGATTTACCTTGTTCTGGTTGAACAGGTGGATAAAATTCCGTCATGTCATTCGAATTTTTCAAAAATTCTTTCGACAACCTTTCAGAAATACTACCAGTGGTATGGTTACCTGACAAGGAAAACACGCTTTTGTACTGAAATTTAAGTGATATTTGTTCGAAAACTTTTTCATATGATTGACTGCTACTGTATGATGTATTGACAAATGTATACATGAATGCTGTACCACCGACAATGACAGATGATATATAGTGTGTTCCGTAGGCTCTGACTACGCTATTATAAGTTGTTTGTTGCCCTTCGCTAGTCGGAATGCCAATCTGTTGAAGTCGTTGAATACTTTGATTGAAATATCGGCTAAAACTGAAAACGAAAAAAAAAAGAATAAAGATTCGTTTCATTGTCCATTATTATGAGAGTTCAACGCTCCTCTACGGTTTAGTTTCCCAAAACTCTCAGTAACGTTGTTTTTCTGTTTGCTTCGAAAACACAGTAATTTCTATAACTAAAAAAGGAACATCTTTCATTTTTCCAGGTCGAATAAAAAGATCGGAGGAGGGTAGATTACATATAATCAAATCATGAACGTATGCAAAATTTTCTTTTTTTCAAGTCACGGTTTCTTCAATTGAAAAACAGCATCGATTTTGATTTTTATTATTTTAAATTATCTTTAGAAATACTTACGGTAACAAGAATGCTGGTGGTAGTTGCATCGAATACATTCCCCACCATCGTCCTGAGATACCGATAGATTGTTTGTTGTCTTTCGTTGAATTATAAGCTCTTTCTAATATTTTATTATAGCCAATACCGGCTTCAAAATTAGACACCTTAATTCCAACGCTGAATGACGTTGATTGAAAGTAGCTATAAACAAAATGAATGCAACGAAATTAGTGACTGCAAGATATGCACACAACTTAACTCACCTGTGATAAAATTCTTCGAACGAACTAGCAATTTTTTCACAATAATTCTCTCTTCTTCGACTGACATCAGTGACTTGTACAGCAAGTGGTGTTTGAAACACTTGTGTATGTCCATTTGTTTTTAGCACATACGGTTGACCAAGTTCACTCAAATCAAATATTGCTGCTTTTATTTTATCATCTTGACTGACTACTTCCAGTTCAGAAATACTTTTCATTTTTGATGCATCAAAACCACTTATTAAATGATCCAAGCCAGGTATGTTTGGTACAGGTACACTGGAAACCACTATCACGATCATTATCCATAAAGATCCAATAATTAAAAATTTGTTCATTGTTTACTATTGCAAACGTTACTTTTTCTAAGAGGTGTTATAATATTATGAAGTAATACAGTAAAGCAAACCTGTCTTTTATACTTCCTCTACTTCCTTCAATTTTATTTATGCATTCATATATGTATGTCTCATTCCATTACTTAACCAACCATATATTTTGCATAATGATATATTTGTTACACGTTGTGCGCCACAAAATATTCAATATGATGATGTTAAGTCAACAAACGAATGATCTGGAAGCTGTTTGCCGAACGATCATTGGCTGAATGACGTTTTCGTTGCAAAATTATTCATCGAAAAATAATTCCACGAAAGGTAATTGATAGTAAGACATTTCATCAAGAGTGTTGAAATAGTAGCGTATATTATTTATTGTTTTACAGTCTTTGTATAATGAGCACGTGCAATGTAAAGTTGATATGTTCATCTAAAACATTTTGTAGTTAAATAATATTTGTATAAGAAATGTACTATCGATGAAAAAAATAATAACCCGATAATATTCTTACACTGAAACACAAACCAAACAGAATTAATACAAAGTTTGCCTCGCTTGTTATTTATGATTTATTGAATTCTGTGAATGATTCGACTGGTATATGTATAAGAAACAGTAAGTGTATGCAAATGAATGAGTATGATTATTTCGCCGATTATTGGTTCTATAATTTGCATAATCAATTCTCCTTCTTGAATGTTTGAGCTAAACTGAATAATTATCCGTCAAAGTAAGTATTGGGTCTTCACTTCAAGTGGTAGGCAGCATACTCTCATTTATATAGTGCAGGCTACTCCCAGTACTGACAGTTTTCAGTTTTATCGGGGAAAATGTGTTGCTATTATTTGTTCTCTATAATCTGTTTCGCCTTTACATTTTGTCCTCTCACGTTGTATCTGACTCTTTTTTTCCTAGAATCATTCGAACCTATTTAACAATACAGATGACTATCGATCGTCTCATATATATTCTTCATTTACTATCATAGTTTGTCTGATTGTTTATCTTGGTACTCTTATATTTCACACATCAATCAAGTATGTATAGCCGATCTTATGAATTGGATACAGAACTTTGATTTGACCGGTCAATACAAATTCGTCGAAATAACTGATGTATTTGTTCGACAAAGAGATTATAATGTGTTTATTATATCGGATACAGAGTCCGAATCGAATCGGATTTTATTGGATCGAAATCGGTTCAAACAGGTAAAGGAAGGTTTGGAGCAGTTCGCTTTTATTTAACGAAAGTCATAGGTTTGCAAGACTTCATGCTAAAGTATATAGCTGAACATAAAAAGATCCGTCGATGTTTGACAAAACGCTCGTCTATAAGTACTAGTTTTCTTTTCAGATAATGAGATCAATATATACATTCATTTATGTTATATTATTTTGTGCTTACTGTGAGTGTTCACTCTCACTTCAATCATTAGCTCGTCTTCTGCCATCGACGAATGTTCTTATTCAAGGGTTGGATGTCGTTGGATGTGGCTATGACGTAACGACATTGGAAAGTCGTCATTGTCTTCTTGATTTGAGCGATGTCAATAATATTAGTAACTGGACTGATCCACATAATCAATCGCTATCTTATGTGGTGCCATATGGCTTCTATGTAATGGGTGCATCAGACTCTCTTGAAGTGCTCGAAACACAGATCATTAAGAATATCTACGAGTTTATTACAAAAACTTTCTATCATTCGCGGCAAGATTCAAGCGAGTTTTTGGGCTTTAGTTCATCAACCCGCACCATCCAGAGTGAATTCATACATCATCGATTTTATCAATTCGACACTTATTTAGCGTCTAGAATACGACAAATCGCCTGGTACTCACTAAGTGTAATTACATTTCCCACACCGAAATTGAATGATTTGACAACTAAAGCAATTGCAGCTTTGCCTTCTACATTCAAATCAACGAATGAGACACATATCCAACTTTTCAAACAATTCTTTGACGCCTTTGGTACTCATATGGTGATGAGCTCAACTCTGGGTGGACTTGCTTGGGCACAAGATTGGTTCGATAGTTGTTTGCTTCGCATAAGAAATACGACATGGATTCGTGAACAAGTGAGTGGAGCGATTCATCACTTAAGAATACGATTGATTTACAAAAGAAGTACGATTTTGTATTTGAGTCTAACGGCTTGTATTAAAAGAAGGATATTGATATTATGTGAAATAAGAAGTATTTAGCTTTGAATAAAAATTAGGATTGGTTTATTTTTATCTAGGTGACAAGACGTGAGCCATGGGGATTATTCAGTTCGTCTAGTGACACTGAGCAAACAACAACAATTATAAGTGAAGAATGGACAAAACACGCTCAGTATTCATTGCAATTAATGGGTGGTAATGAGTCAATCGAGATTTCAAAATGGCGTGAATGGATTCCTACAGTGAAACAACATCCACGACCAATATCATATGATCTTACACCTATTTATACGCTTTTACCAGCAAATAGCCATCAACGAACGTCTCTTACAGAAGCCACTCTGTATTTTCGCACTCAAGCTGACTTGAATGACCGCACGTATATTGCACAACTTCAATCCATTCCGAGGCCGCCGCAATCTCGATGCCAAAGACCACTGGCAAAGCGTTCTTTAAAATCAAGTATTCAGCAGCAACCACAGGTGGTAAACCGTACTACATCACCGTTTATTTTCACTGAAGAAGCTCGAGCTGCTCTTTGTCCATTTGTTGGAACTGAAGGCATGAAATGCTTTGATGATCGTCCAATAAGAAATTCTGGTAGAAAACTTGATTCAGGGCATTTGAAGTTGCCACGCGGTGTTGGTATGACTGTCGATCGAAGTACTGGTCAAATCAGAGCTCTAGCTGTACAACTAACATATCCATCTGAAGGCAGTCGTATGTGGACTGATGGCCATACTGGTGCAATGTTTAATGTATTCAACGAGGCAACACTTGGCGCAGCTAACAGAGTGGTAGCGGGGTATGATAAAGCCAGGGTTCGTATTTTTCATGATGCATCACAGCTAGATGCAGCTTGGAAACAAACATTTGCTGATGGCAAAGTACGCGGTGGAGAATTAGCTCGTCAACCTGATATGCTCGGCTACTTCAACAAGTAAGTGTGTTCTCATTTATACAATGTGAAACAAGAAATACAATCAGACAAAATCTGAGAATGCCACTTTTTTCTCAGTAGATCCTGTCTCCAATTGCTCTTATCAAGTAAACGATAATGGAACACTTTGCGTTCAGGTGTAAAACGCTTCAACTTTTATTTACGAGGCCTCGCTAGTCTACTCTGTTTTCTGTTCATTAAAGATTTGTTCGAGAAAATCAAAGACAGAAACATTAGCAAGATCTATATTAACATATTCACCGCGATGTGAGCCACCGGCGGCTCACGGTATATTTTATAAGGAAAATAACAAAAAACAGTTTCTTTTTCTTCTTTTTTCCTATGTAGTGGATGCCATATATTCCCTCATCCACCCCGTCTTACTCAGTATTCGAATCCTTTATTACATTGAGTAATGCTTCTCATTGAAACAATCAAGACAAAAGTATTTATCACAATCAGAACAGAAAGTTTTTACTCTTTTCGCTGCTGTTGCACTCGCTTCACTTGATTGTTGTTGCCTAATTTTCTCATAGCAGCCAGTACAGCGTCTTCGTACATCGCGAGCAGATCCTCCTTTTTCCTCGAGTTTGTGATCATCGAGTTTGCGCTTCAGATGGCTTGCTGATTGTTGTCTCGAACCAGGTTTCAGCTTCTCAAATGGTATACCAAGGAGTAAAGATCGTACAAGACTTTCACGAAACTGCAGAATAGTCATGTTGCTTGTGGCATAATTTTCCTTGTGAATTAGATAACTACAAGACGGAATGGATGAGAGAATATATGGCATCCACTACATAGGAAAAAAGAAGAAAAAGAAACTGTTTTTTGTTATTTTCTTTATAAAATATGCCGTGAGCCACCGGTGGCTCACATCGTGGTGAATGTGTTAATGAGCTTCCAAGAAAGTTAATTTTATCGCAAATGTCTATACCTCAACGATGTTTGATTATCTCGACCAAGGGTCGTAGACATAATAGAAATCTTACAGTAAAACTTGATTACAATCGGGGTTACCAGCTATCATGCCTTCAAAATCAAGTAGTACATTTGACACTTTGTATGATCAGTTACGGCTAATAATCCGCTCAATCAGATACCCGCTAATCAGAAAAGATCAATGATTGACAGATCTAACAGTACACTCTTAATTCACTTCATACAAAGATTGTGAACTATATAGAACTGTAACAGTTTCACTTCTCATGAACTGATCCGATATGAAGCTGTTATCGTCGTAAAACTATATATTGCTTGAAAACATCATCTTGCAGAGGATAGAATGTGCTATAAAAATATCAAGTCAGTTGTTTTTGAATGAGCTACAAATACGATCTTTTTTCTAGTTATTTTGCCCAGAATGATTCTTTGGCACTCTCCCAACGTGTGATCGGCCTGTATACACTTACACTAAATACATCATCTATTCAGCTTAATTCGTTCGCACATCATGCACTTTCTCAGTTAACAGCACGATTCAATGCTGAACTCTATGAAGATTTTATCAACGCTTGGGGAACTCATATCATTACTAAATCTCTCGTTGGTGGCATGATCGAAGAACGAGCCAAAGTAAAACGATGCTTCCTTGCCGATCACGAGGATATTCTCGCTGAATGCATACCTTTCTCAGATCGAGGTCCCATCAGTGATTATTGTGCTTACTATGCTAATCAAGCACGCGTGATATCGAAACGACGTCTTGGCGGCAATATAGAAGTTGACAATGATAATGATTGGAAAAGAACATTGGCTGTTGAACCTGCTCTATTGCAAATTCTGGAGATGGTGCCCTGGTATGATTTTGTCAGCGACGACGCAGTAAAAGAAAATTTGCGCACAATCATTCGATATCACCTAAAAACCGTAGATGCTCGCCAAGCAGAAGCTGTTCGCCAAATAAATGGACGTCTATCTCCATGCGTTTTAGTTGGCATAATAGGTATTAATTCATCGAATAAGTCCTCAATTAATCAATCTCATATTTTAAGCATTGTTGTTTTACTCATTTCTTTGCAAAAATCATTTTAGTTGGATTGATATCAAATAGGATTAAGAATATGACCTCTTCAAATTAAAATCAGAAGTAGATCGTTGGATTTAGCTTTTATACAAATTTTATACTATCAGAAACTTCTACTTGCTGAGTTTACAGATATACCACTTACAAGTCGGTTTCATTCTTCTGCGTGAAAGGTCATCATGAGAAATAACAATGTCAAGACTTATATTGCTCTATTAAGTTATTTTTTTACACATAAAATCAAAAGAAAAAAACCCAAAGAGTATACTTTCAATTTTCATGGACTGTAGTAGTTCATAAGAAAAATAAATAATGCTAACGAGAGAAGCTCTCCAACTGTCGAATCACTTTCAAGTCGGAAGTATGTGCATCATATAGGCCCTAATAAGCTATGAGTACCCTGAAAAAAGTTCGTGCTGCTGGTTTAATACCGCTAATATATTGCACGTTTAGGGTATTTTTAAAAACAAAGCCGTAGTTTCGCTCAGGAACACCAGCAAAACTGAGTTTCGAATATCAACTTGAAACTTTGCACAAAGACAGGCTTATATGAGAATAGTTTATTATGAAAGTTTTAGAACTTTTGGTTGTTCTTATCCTAAGATAGAGCTATGGTGAAACTATATTTTTAAATCGCTCAAATACATCTAGTGTCCTGCACGGATATGACTTTTCGCATCCGAACCCTGATCGACACTGTTTTAATACATGGGCCGAAACCGATCCGACCATCTTACACCCGGACTCGAATAACGGTACTCCGCACTCGATCAGACTCGGACTGGAAGTAATTCACATCCAGTAGGAGTTTTCATAGTCATACTATGCCTTTCAAACTTTGGTTTCATATAACAAAATACACTATTATTTCAATTACATCAACAAATAATAATAAAAAGATCATCTAAAATTTCCCAAGAAAAGAACAAGTAAATCATTAGGCGTGTTCACTGAGAAAACTATCTTGAAAATGGCTGAACGTATTGAGTTGTCCTCTAGTTCTTAAGAGTTTCTCGACGTGCTCTTTCATTTTGTCTCTAGAAAGTTTTTCCCAAAACCTTCGGAAAATGAGTTTCTGAAAACCATATTTTTTCAGCTACAGGTGTCGAAAAAAAGAAGCGTTAGAAAAAGCTTTTGAATATCCTATTCGAATTCAGTATTGAAAGATGAATATTTTTAAAAAAATCAAGTCTCTAACACAAAACTTAGACTTGTAAGGTGGTTGTCAAATTTGAAAAAGTTAATTTTTTTAAATTTGAAATAACTCAAGATGGGTAGATGATATAAAGCTGGTTCAAATGTCAATCGATAGAGAATTTGAAAGTGAACAAACGTAGGGATTAATCCATACGCTGGTTCACTTTCAAATTCTCTATCGACTGACATTTGAACCAGTTTTATATCATCTACCCATCTTGAGTTATTTCAAATTTTAAAACATGAACTTTTTAACATTTAAAAATCAACTTACACGTCTACGTTTTGTGTTACAGACTTGGTTTTATTAAAAAATGTTCGTCTTTCAATGCTGGATTCGAATAGGATATTCGAAAGCCTTTTCTAACGCTCCTTTCTGTCGACACCTGTAGCTGAAAAACCATGATTTTCAGAAACCTATCTTGGGAGGGTTTTGGAAAAAACTTTCTAAAGACAGAAAGAAAGAGCACGTCGAGAAACTCTTAAGAACCAGAGAACAACTCGATACGTTCAGCCATTCTCAAGATAGTTTTCTCAGTGGACACGCCTATTATTGAAGAATTTTTTAAAAATGTCCTCCACTATTTCTTGAATAAGCTTTACCAATTAAAAAATATCGAGACTAGGTTTTTACCAGTAGTAGCGACATTCAAATTGGTGTGATGAAGTTATTCACTGGCATTCCGTATTATTCATGTTTTTTCTTTAACATTTCGACAGCTACATAAACAGAACGGTGTACATTCAATCGGTTGATCTTCTCGATCAATATGGGGCCATCCATAAAGAACATTCAACTAAAAGTGACATTTTTTGACCTCCCTCTTCCCCTGGACGTCCAGTTTGCAAAATTTTTTCGAAAAAGTCTGTTTGCTGAAAAATAGTGTTTTTTCTTATCAGACTACTATGCAGCGGCGAATCCATTCCATGTTTTTGTGGATCCAGCGCGATAGATTCAGCTCCGGATTTGGTCGAGTCTAGAACCAAGTTTTTTTTCACTAACATCCAGAACTCTTTATGCATAAGGCTAAGTGAAAGATTAAAGTGTTGGCTTTTTATTGGTTACTCACAGAGAAAGTCGTTGTAAAGTTATTTCTTGTGATTGTCCAAGGAGCGGCTGCTCCATGTTTTTGTGGACTCGGCCAGGTCTATAAAGACCAGCAGCTCTCTAATGTGATCCTGGACTCAGACTCAATCGGGTCTGGAAGGGCGCCTAACTCTCTACAGACGACTGACACTTTTTTTTTAATATCTACTTTTATTGTGCCATATGTAGCTGGTTCACAAGTGAGATATTAAAAGAGAGAGAAAGGAAGAACGAACGTGAAAACACTAAATAAATGGAGTAACACACCACATTACTAGATAAAGTAAGAAGTACAGTTAAAGTAAGAGTAAATAAAAACACAATAAGGTAAAGAAAAGTAATAACAGAAAATATAGTAACGAAAAGTAGTAGCAATGAGTAAAGAGAGACTAATAACTATAGAACAATAACAACCAACAATAATAAGTAGAAGATGAAGAAAAAAAAGTAAAAGTAAACAATACATATAACAGTTATATCTTTCTGAGGACAATATCTAGATAACATTATTCATTCATTGTCGATATCACAAGATTGATTTAAAGGTTTAATTAATGTATTATTATACAATTAAGGTTATATCATTTCATTCTCAGGTTCAGATTATTTATTGTATCTTAGATATCAAAAGGTCTAAGATGGTAAAAGGAAATATTTATATATGAAGGAATTTATCATATTTGTTGATTTCTTAAAGTATTCGTATTGTTTAACATGAACTGCATCAAAATCTATCCAATCAATTAGACAATGCTTCACTTCATCAGTTAATCTATTTGGAAAAATACTGTTCTTACAAAATCCCATTGACTTGAATCAGCTATTATCAAGAGAAGTAATGGTAAGATATGCATTCCAGGTCTGTTTGAAAGAAAGCGCTTCGGGGGAGTTAAGCAGATGTAAAACTAATCGACGCCAATATGTAAATAAATAATCACATAGTAATTTATCTCTAGCAAGAATTAAAGTTGTTATATCATTTCATTGATGTAGATTATATACAATTCTAAGTCCGTGACAAAACATATGTTCAATGCGTTCTTTTTGTTTATCAGTATAGAAGGACCAAGTAGAAAATAACCATAAGTAATGTGGAAGTGCATATGAAAGGAAAATTCTTCGGCATATTTTGATATCTTTCATCTTAATCGTGTTAAATGCTATTTTCATACTGTTATAGATTTTACTTATGGTTCACAGACGCTCATTAAGGTATATATTCCATCCTAATTTTGTGGAAATATACACTCCTAAATATTTAAATCTTTTAACATATTCTATTGGTTGTGACTTATAATAGAGACGGGGTATGAAGGGGATACAATACTGTGGACAAGAAGAGCTTTTGTTTTGGATATATTTACTGATAGGATTAGGTCTTCTGCAAATTTCTCAAGCTGTTTTAAAATTACAGCTGCTTTATCTTCAAATTCTTTAACATTTATACAGAACTTATTTTCAAGTGAACCCGATAGAACAAGAGCAAGATCGTCCACAAAAGGTGAAATTTGACATTTTTAAAATACAAGAGAAGACAGTGAATGTGAAGTCGGAATAGGGTTGCAGCAATAACAGAACCTTGGGGAGCCCCTACTTTCATTTGAACAGTACGAAATTTTTTATCACCATAGTGGATGCAAAAGGATCTATCTTCTAACCAGTTGGATATCCATTTTAATAGTGATAATGGCATGTTCAGTTCATAGAAATTAGCAATAAGAGCAAGTGTCCAGATTCTATCAAAAGCGGATAAAAAAATCTACGAATATTACTAACACCGGTCGATTGTTCGCTGCAAGAGTCATTCTTAATTCTTCAATAATGGAAATTATTCTCGTTTGTAATCGCCTACCAGGAGAAAAACCAGATTGCTCATCAGTGTATATATTATTATTCTTGCACCACGATAATATACGATTGTGAACTATTCGTTCAAAGCACTTTCCAATATTTGGGAGTAATGATATAGGTCTTAGTCTATTAGTAGGCAGATGAATACCTTGTTTAGGGACACATACTACTTTGGCATGTTTTGCAGCCAACAAAAATTCACCTTTATCCGAGCACTTATTGAACAATACGATCATTATGTTCAAATATTGTTCAGGAAGTTTTCTCAATAGAAAAGCTGAGGTATCAACACTATCCGTAGAAGTTTTTGATGACATTTTTCTTCACTCCTTAATTACTTCATTTATTGGTATTGGATCTAATAGAATATTGAGCAGGAGGGCAATTTTATTATAAATAGATATATATTTTTGTTGTATTACGTTGTTCATATCGGGTGTAGGTTCAGCGAAATGTTGTTCATAATGATTAGCTAATGTATCAACTATATCTTTAGGATTTTTCATAATGACTGAGTTAACAGTTAATCCACGAAATGGAGGAGAAAATGAGTGGAAGGTAGGACGAACAAAATTCCAAATATTCTGATTCTTCAATATCTATTCGAGTTTAGATTCGTATTTCTATTGAGTTAATTGGGAACGTTCGTCAATAAAAAGAGTCTTTATCTGTAGAAACATGTACAGGTTGATTTCGGTTTTATTGCGTCTATATATATGTCTTCTTCTATTTACTTCACGAACAAGAGCAACTAGATGTGGTGGCCATAGTGGTCGATATTGCCTTGCCGATTCATAAGTACTACATCTATTACAAAGACTTGTTAGAAATTCAGAAAAATGAGTAAAAAAGAATTGCTCGTCATAGTTGTATACAAAAGACAACCAATATTCGTAAACAATATTAAGAAAGAAAGTAAAGATCTTCTAATTGGGTTTTTTTAAATACTGATGTTAAAGGAACATATAGAGGGGATTATAATAATATAGGAAGGTGATCGGATGTACCATCATCGATCACTTCAGTGTAACAGCCAGCGGCATCATGCGTTAAACCGCAATCAATTATAGAATTGGATCTATGAGAGGTTGGTTTATTCGGTATAATCATTTCGTTTCCTGTTAATTCTAACTGTGAAACGATTTGATTTCCACTAACATTATTTCCTTCACACCCCCAATCCGTATGTTTAGCATTGAAATCTCCAAAAATAAAAAAAAGTTTATTTCGACATTTCATAAAAAGTTGAAATGGAGAAATTGATCCGGGAGATACATATACAACACCGACGCTAGTTGGTTCAAGTATTGTTTCAATTTCAATTAAGAGAAAATTCAATTCTCTAGTTACTATTTTATATTTGATCAATTTATGTACTAAAAGGCAACACCTCCAAAGGAATTCGTTCCTTCTTGAAGTATACTATTATAGTCAAGAAAATGAGGGATTTTTCTCATCACAGCTTTTCCAATTTCAGTAAGTATACATATCTAAGGAGATTGGTTATTAACAAGTACATCAATATCAGCAATATAGTTATTTAAAGAATTAACATTATATAATAAAAAAGCAGATTTTGTTTGAAAATATTAGGTCTGGTTTTTCTCCACTTTTTGAATAGATCGGACATACATGATCTCCAATTCCATCCCTGAAATATTTGTTTTAATTCTAACTTCTCTTTTTGTTATCCGACAAATGAATGAATAGTGTCGTCATTGATATAGGGCAGAGAATAGTGAAAAACTTGACTAGTCATTTAATATTTACAATTGTTTTGTAATTTCTACAATCTTCGACGTGAGTTCATCAATAAGTGAGGTATAAGTTGAAAAAATTTTATCAATTGAATATTGACTTTCAGCAATTGGAATAGTTGATATTTGTTTTATGATTTCTTCATATTGTTGATCACTTGATTTTGTCAACATTAAACATACAGCTTGGATGGTGTATTTATTAATTTCTAAACATTCATTAATTGTATTTTTAAGCATAATAATAGATTCGTTTTGACGTTGAATGATGGTTGAAAAGCAGATATTTAATGGTTTTAGTTGTGCTAAACTTTCATTAAGTTGTGATTTTCTTTTCATATTTTTTTATCAATAGAGCAGCATTTATCTAAATGGTTCAGTTGTAATTGTAAATTTTTAATAGCATCAGATGAAGATGAGCTAGTGTATTTAGAATAACTGATGGTGGAACGTGTAGGAGGTGGTAACGAAGGCCAATCATCATTGGTAATTGTAATTTGATATTTCCTATTGAGTGAAATAGTCATCAGTTGAGGATATGGACGTTTATTATACAGAACATTTTCACCATGTAAACAATATTGAGAAGGAATAAAAAATTGAGTATCAGCAGGTAATCTTTCGGGATGTTGTTTAAGATAATGTATAAGATCACGACGGTAATTTTGAACAGTTTGGCATCTAAAATCAGTAGAAACATGTTCCTCCTTACAATTATGACAACTAATGGCACAATTTTTATGATCTTCATTTTTTCTATCTTCTCCACATCTCTACAACGTTCAAATGTAAAGTTACAATACTTTTTGTTATGACCGGAAAAATTGAACATTGAGCAGAAAAGAACACGAGGAGCTGCAAGATATTCAAAAACATGTAAACATTGACTTTCGATGCATATTATTCCAGAATTAAGTAATTGTTTATATTCATTTGTATCAGTTAAATAGAGTCGTAGATATCTTGTTCTATGATTATTTGTGCCTACTAATTCTATAATTGAATACATTGACTTATATTTATTCATAATTTCATTTTTGATATCATCAATACTAAATGTGTTAGGTACACCTTTAATAATAACAGAACGTTGGGCAGGTAAATGCTCTGGTAAAACCACCGTAATTTTTGTATCCAATATCATATTAGGAATATGTTTAACATTACAGAAATAGATAAATAATTTAACATCACGGGTAATACATTGTAAATTGCCTTTAATGTGAGTATACCACGATTCAAATCCAATAACCTCTTTGTGCTTCGGTTTAATTTGTTTAAAATCATCAACAATGAGTTTGAGTAATTTCTTGATCATGTTTGCACCATCTTTTTGTTCATTTACTATTGATTGGCATATAATTTTAATAGGTGAAAAAGATTGATCAACTGAATCTGCAACAGCATCGTTTGTAATATTAAACTTATTATTATAATTTCCTTCAGAATTAACCATTGTTTCGTTCTGTTTATTAAGTAAATGGTTGTTAGCGTAGTCCATTCTCTGATGAAAAAAATTCTTATTGGATGTAGTTGTCGCTACATAAGAAGAATTAGTAACTGTACGTGGTTTTCGTTGAACTGATCTTGTTCTTTTTGGTGTTCCATGATCATTAAATTGGAGATCATATTCATTATCACGTGATGTTCCACCCCGTTTTTCACCTTGTTCACCTATACAAGGGGATATCATTAACGAATATTCATTGTCTACATTTTTTAAATATGTTAAGTCAACTTCAGGACAATCTTTCACCAACGGTTTATTGAGCAAAGAAGTTCCATTTAGTGTTATATCCTTGTTTGACATATTGTAATGGTAAATAATACTTGTTTATTATATAAATTATATAAATTAAGATAAATACGTCACGTGTTCACACACGTGTTCACACACGTGTTCACTTATATGTGAACTACCGGGATGAGAAAAGAAAAGAATCGATTAGTTCGATCATTTGTGTTCATGCGAACACACCTGATGTGAGAATTATTATTTATAGACCACTCTGATTTCCTGACTGCTTTTTTTCTTTTTTGTTTTACACATGTGCGAGTTGATGCCTATTTCTATCATCTATTTGTTTACTTCGTTTACGTATCTATGTTTATCACAACATGAATAAGCATTCAAAGTTGCGACAATTATATGATCAAAAATGAGGAAAAAAAACAATATAGAATTGAATATTTTAAAGTTCAGCATTGCTATAAAAGAGACCAGTCGAATAATGATACCGCAGAAAATTAACTACGTTTTTTTATCATCTCACAAATGATTAAACCGTGCTAAGTGAATAGAATCCATGGAACTGTATAAGATGTAGTTTTTCCTTTGTCTATTAATGCTAAGAAGATGCTTTTATTTTTATCGTGATGATGGAAAAGTCTTTGGGTTTCTCTCTACATCTGCTGATTTTGCTTAGAAAGAAACGAATAAATAGATTTTGCATCAAAGTTGAGACAGTCATATGATTTGCTTACCTCGTTTTGCAATGACTCGTAAGGAAAATTTTACAACATGTTCAAGATAAAATTTCCCTATCAGACAGGCAAATATGAATATAAATGTTATGATGGACATATTAAAATTAAAAAAGAACGCAGTTTTATGAGTTTTTTTATTCGATTTCAAGTGCTTGAAGGTGTCATGAGCCCTTATCTCTCTATAGAATAATTTAGTATATCGACTATTTTACGTTTGTAAAAAGTATGTTTTAATAATTCAATCATTTATTGACATGTTGAAACGTATTTTTTTTCGCGTTTTTCTTTGTCTTCAGTTCTATTTTGTTCGTCTCTATAGTATTTCCATGTTGTTTTAAATGAAGGTAAATACAAGTTTGTAGAGAATTGAATTGCGCATCTATGAAAAACAAATTCCCAATTTTATCTTTTCTCTAAATTGAGATGTATGCAAAATATGAAATGTTTGCGACACTGCGTATGATCCTAATACAAATCTCTAAAGCTGATGTTCACGATAACTTAATAATAATCCCGTAGAACTCTTTCTGGCTACCCCATTAAGATCCATGCGTTCTAAATTATGTATGAAATCTACACATCCATATGTTATCCTATGGAGAGCTCCGATAGGATTAGCATTTCAAAATTCTAAGTCATCAAATTCTATAGATCCGCCTGGAATCCTGTCAGATTTTCTCATCAAAGTGCTAGAAGTAACTCCGCACGCAAAAACCTAATAAAATCTTACATGCATACACCTTGCCAATGTCAAGGAGACACTTCGCTAGATCTGTAATCATCATCCAGAAAATTATGTGATCAGGAATTTTGTCCTATCACGTACAAAGTATCTCCAAAGATGCATATTGAATCCTTAAGGTTCTCCAAAAACATAGGGATTATGTTTGACATTTGTTATTCAACAATTCAACGTCCTTTTAACAAGATCCATATAGAATCTTCTTGGGATTTTTCCACTTTAGGAGTTTCACATAGTTCATTATTTTATTGCTTAAATTCTTGTCTGATGTTCGCATAAATGATCATCCTGCAAAAAACTTCTGAATTCTCGCAGTTTCGAATAAAATCCTCAAGTCCCTATGTTTTCTATCAAAACCTTACATGGAATTAGCATTACTCTTGCTCGGAAAAGCTCCTCACAGCAATCTCCAGAGGCAGTTTTCCGGGTTAAAAAGATCTTGGCAAAAACTAGAAGTGACGTAAATGTAAGAGTCATTATGAAATCCCTTTTTCTCATAGGAAACTAGGAAAGAGCTTCTCAATTTTTATCTGCAAAAAAGAACATTCTCGAAAGTTTTACCAAATTCCCTTCGAAGAAGATGGATATCTTCTTCATAGCTCTTCCTTCCGCAAGAGAGAGGGATCTCTTCGATAACGATGGTTTCTTTTCTTTTTCGTTCATTGTAGTGATTCCTAATATTCCAGCCGATGCCCGATGGGCACGGACTGGTATGACTGTTGCTGGAGGCCATGGATACGGCAATGCCACCAATCAACTCAAGTGGCCTCATGGTCTCTTCGTTAATGATGATCAAACGATGGTCATCGCTGACAGGTACAATCATCGTATCATCCAATGGAAGATGGGTGATACGAATGGGCAGGTGGTAGCTGGTGGCCATGGCCACGGAAATCGATTGGATCAATTGCATCAAGCAACCAATGTGTTGATCGACAAAGAGACGGATAGTCTCATCATTTGTGATTGGCTCAATCGACGAGTCGTACGATGGTTTCGTCGTAGTGACACAATTCAAGGAGAAATCCTCCTCAATAACGTCGGTTGTTGGGGATTGTTCATGGATTATCGGAGATATCTCTACATCTCTGACACCGAAAAACATGAAGTAAGACGATATCAAATAGGAGACAAGGATGGAATTATCGTGGCTGGTGGCAATGGCAAAGGTACAAGTCTCAATCAACTCAATGAACCCAGATACATATCTGTCGATCAACAACAGACTGTCTACGTGTCAGACAATTACAATCATCGTGTAATAAAATGGAATAAAGGTGCAAAAGAAGGAATTGTCGTCGCTGGAGGTCAAGGGCCAGGGAATGCTCTGACACAATTGTTTCATCCTAACGGACTGCTCGTCGATACGTTGGGTACCATCTATGTGGCAGACTCGTTGAATCATCGAGTAACACGTTGGCCTATTGGCGCGAAACAGGGCACTGTCATTGTGGGTGGAAATGGTTACGGAGAACGAGCTAATCAGCTCGCATCTCCCTCCGGTTTGTCCTTCGATCGTCATGACAATCTCTATGTTGTCGATTATGGAAATCATCGTGTTCAACGCTTTTCAATCGAATAGACTCGTTACAATGAATTTTTTTCTTTCCTTTCTCTCAAATGAGTCACATTGAATTGATGAAAACAATGGCTATTCTATTCGCGCGCGGGGGACTAGGAACCATCCTGGTGGAGCTGTGGCGAGCGTAACGCTCATGCACGCATGGGACAGACTCATATCATTCACATCTCTTCCACTCGAGAGATATATCAATGAGTCTGAGGGGAGCCCGGTGTGGGTGGGTGTGGGCGTGGTGTGGGTGTGTGGGTGTGTGGGTGGGTGTGGGGTATGGGTGAGTGGTGTGGGTGTGGGTGTGGGTGTGGGTGTGGGTGTGGGTGTGGGTGTGGGTGTGGGTGTGGTTGTGGGTGT